CGTTATACTTGGACAGGGAAAATTCCCTTGAAATCCCAGTTTCCCAGCTTTCTTAGTTCCCGAGTTATCCAAATTCCAGCCAGAAAATTTCACGGGGTCGTAAGTGGCAACCGCGCATAACGGGGGGCTGAATTTGATAAAATTAAGTTGCAGTTGATTTAGGAACATTTCCTGAAAGTTTCAGTCGCCCAGCTTCCTTGGCTCCGGAGTTATCCATTTTTCCGCCAAAAACTTTCATGGGGCCATACGTGATAACCACGCATAACGAGGGGCTGAATTTGATAAATTTAAATATGATAGACTGTAGGTGAACTGGGAACATTCGCTGAAAGTTTCAGCCCCGCAGCTTCCTTGGTTCCCGAGCTAGCGATTTTTGCGCCAGGAATCCTCACGGGGCCGAACGCGGGAACGCACACACCTGGAGGCTGAATTTAAAATCTTCGAGTTTTGTATGGACGGGAAACATAATACCAAAATATTAGCCTTCTAGCTTTTCTGGTTCCCCAGTTTGCGATTTTCCCGCCAAAACTTTGAGGCGCTCGTACACGAGAGCTGGAGGTGCGTGAGGATTGGTGCCGCTGTCTTGGGGTGGCACTTGGCCGGGGAAGCCACTCGCAGCTTGCTTGGGTGCGGAGTTGAAATACCCGGACAGACGCACGCACACACACACAAACACACACACATATACACACACATACACACACCCACACACACACCACGGTCGTCGCAATATGCGTTTTGCAAAACGCAGAAAAAGCAGGGGCTATCTTATTTTCTTACAACTTTTATTCGTCTAGTTTAAAAGCACGCGCAGCAGTTTTTGTCCTTGAAACTGATAACTGAATTCGTTTCAAGCAGTATCAGTATTCTTCAAATGTTTATGTGAATATTACGTATTATCCTGCGCTGCCAACACTGCTGCGTAATGGAGGTTTTCGACTGAATTTGATACCAAGTCGAAAGATAACAAGTGATGATGGGAATGATATTCGGGAAACGAATGGCAACATCATGCACACTTTACCTCCACTGGTATGTTCACTTTCCCATATTACTGTTTGTACTACTGCAGGGCGTATTCTTACATGAGCAGAGGAGTGAAAATGGAGCTTCTAAAGTCCGCAATTTGATATGTAAAGTTAAAAGAATCTCAGACTTTAGAATGAGTCAGGATACAAACCAAAATTTTTTAATTTAAAGCATAGTGTGGGCTGAATCCAAGACAGTATTTTAAATTCCTCTGCGATCTGAACTTAGGAACAAATTCTTGCAAAAAACAAGTCGAAAAACCGCTATGACAAGATGAAACCACTTGCTTTTGTTGCTTTTAAATGCGTTGTTCATTTCGTTCACAATAGTTTGATGGCACTGGAACTTTGTTGAATGCGACTACGTGGAAAAAGTCATAAACCATCTGAAGGCTTCTATTTTTTTTTTAATGCGCCTTGCTAAGCAAATTTGACATTGATTTAGAAGGACGAACAACTCGAAAGAGTACCAATGCTTCTACCAATATTATCCGATCGTTCAGTCTGTCGGTTTGGTAATCCGATGCACTTGCACATGCTACGCATCTCTATGCTAGATCCATAAGTTCTGAAGTGTATGTTTCAAGTTAACATCTGAGGATTTGAACTATGCAGGGACGCTGCCCATTCGGAATTCCGCTGTGCCATAAGTACTCTGAATGATGAATATATTCCTATGAATATATTCCTGAATGATGAATATATTCCTATATGTGTGCTTATATTTGTAGGCATGCTTCAGGTAATGATGAAAATGACACTTCCGAATATCTTATCAAAGGATCGTGCTGGTGAAATTGGTCCATTTACATTGGACTGCCGAATAAAGGATAATGTTTTTGGCTATGAATTTGATAATATGAAACAATTTGGCGGCCAAACAGCTGTTTCATTCGACTTTGTGCCACGATTTTCCTAAAATGCTTTTAATTGGTGAAATGAAAAAGCGCCTATTGCTAAAATATTATCCATGTTTGTGATTGTGTATTTGTGTGCGTCGAAAATCGCTGTGTCAGGAATGCTGGTTACGTTACGTAAAGTGGCCTGATTAAGCGCTTGGCCCATTTATAATCCGCGACGAAATTTCCTGGGTTGAAACTGTGTTCCATCCTTCAAATTAGGGGAAGATTAAAGGCAAATGCCGTTTTCAGGGCCTTTTTGCCAAAAAAGACGTCATGTTATGCAACGTACGTGATTTTCCGAACAACTTGCGCAAAGTTAACTAACTGAAAAACAGTGATTTAAGAAATCTGCAACCATGAATTTCGATCAAATTCTCAATTACATTTTTTTAGAACATTTTAGAGAATAAAGGATAGAGGAAAAATGATGAAATTAAATTCTGCGGTTTTGATGCGGAAAAGATGCAATTATTTGATTTCTTGTCGACACCAAGCCTGTACTTTGGGAATACTAAGCACGACCTGGCATTTTACGCCGTGTTATTTGGCCTTTGTGAATGTCGTCCACTTGTGACAGGCGAAGATTTCTGAGTTTAAATCCTTTTCGTCGTGCATATTAGAAATGGATTAAAGATGCTTGCCGTTTTCTAGGCCTGTTTAAAAATTGTTGCAAATCGAAAAGTCAAACAAAAAAAGTACACCGAACGGGAATATGCGAATAATCAGCACGACACCTATCCAGCAATTAATTACCATGCGTGAGGAAGTTATAGATTTATTAGTTTCATTTGGCTAAATAAAACTGGAAATGGCCTCAGCCCGAAGGCTAATGGTGAAAGTCTGGCCAGATAGAAAACAAATTTAACACGAATTCACTCAGAATTGGGATCAAGATTTGAAACGAAACAACGTAAGGGACGTCAGAAGTTCCTAAAGTGAGAGTTGCACAATTCACTGCGTGACTTTACGCTGTGCCAGCAAAGTGGTTAATGGAA